AGTCCTATTAGGAGTTGGTTAGAAGTAGGAGTCTTAAATAAGAGTCCTATTAGGAGTTAGGGTTTAGAAGCCCTATAAATAGTCATGTATTCCACCTCTTTTCATAAGCAATAGATGAATCTTTTATGCAGCCTTTGAGCAGCAACTTGGAGGGAGGAACCCCTATAGAGTTCCAAGGAGGCCGATCCCCTAAAGAGATCAACCCCAAGTTTAGAATCTGCAAGGGTTCTAACAGTAACTCCGATTTTCTTGGTGTAATTTTCGCTCTTCTTGGCCCGATGCCTGAACCCATGACCCGAAGCCTTCTGCCGATACGTCGATCGATCCTCTGGCTCGAGGTCCAATCTTTTGACATGTTCCACTACGACCCAACATGATTCTTCCTACTTTAATTGTCTCTTCCTGATCGAAGCTTCCTACGTCACTCAAAACGCAGATCAGATCTTGAACATATCAATTGGTTCAATTATCAAAATATGAGATTCAACACCTTTACACCCCTCTTTTACAAGGTATCCCTCACACACCTCTCTTAGAATAACCTCTAAGCTCAAGGAGGAGGGACTCAACTTTCTCATAGAGTTTTCAGTCTCTTTTTCTTGCTATGTCAAGCTGGAAAGATTAGAGTATTTATATGGCTCAAATGGATTTAAATTTGGGGCCAAAACGATCTCATCTCAAGTTTTTGGGGTACTGGCAGCACCGTCGCTAGTACCAGATGGTACCAATGCTCAGTCTGACATTGACACTAGGCAGTACTACTGCCCAATCTGATGGTACCATCACCTAACAAGGCCTCGGAGGTTGGGCTCTGGCGATATCATCGCTTATTTAGGTAGTACCACCACATAGACAACTTGGGAGGTTGAGCTTTAGGTGTTGCCACCACCAACCTTAGCGATGCCACCACTTGGGCTAGCTAAGGGTCACTGAATGGGCCTTCCATTTGGCCTGAAATAGGCCCAACTTAGGCCCAATTGGCTCTTAATTGAGTTAATATGATTACACTTGATACCAACTCAATTAGTCCTTTAAACTACTTCAATCTAGACAAATTATTACAAAGAATGGATCCTTTGTTGTCCAGCATATCATTGGTTTATCCGACACTTCGTTCGATTCTTCGGTGCATCTTCCTCCCCGTCGACGTATTAGTCAATCGGCATGTTGACCTTCCGCAACATCTAATCTCTTAGGCGCAATGTCTGATCCTTCAACCCGATGCCCGAACTCATGGCATGAAGAACTTCTACCGGCACATCAACCGATCCTCCAGCTCGACATCCAATCTTCTGACATGTTCACTCTGGCTTAACCTCTAATTCCACTATTTTAATCGAATTATCTTTCTTTGATTGAAGCTAGTCCTATATCATTTAAACGTATATTAGATCATAACTTTATTAATTAGTTTCATCATCAAAATTTGAGATTCAATAATAATAACATCAAGAATACAAATCTTGGCTTAACAATAATATATCATCATCACCATAGATAGATTTTATGAAAGAAAAATTTTAGGTCTCACCAAATGGGTATAGAAGAAAAGAATTTTAGAGATGATAAGCTGTAGATCGATATTATTAAGATTGTAAAGCTTATTGCAAGGATTCTTTATATAAAATTTAGGCTAAAACCGACGAAGTTTAGTCACTTGATCATCTAGCAAAAGTTTTAAAACCTTAACTTTCTCTCTCCTCTTCTCTCTTTATTCTTTTTCTATGCCGCCATAGTTTCTTTCACTGTTCATACATGTTCATGCACCCGTTGCTGTGCACATCTCCATTATTTTTCTTTTATTTATTTATTTTTAAATAAATTAGATTTGGGCTCAATGCTTAAATCAATTGGTCCAAGCTCATCTATGGGCTAGACCCAACGGATACTCGTTGGTGTGGATAGCTAAAAGTGATAAAGTGAAGACTACATATATGACCAAATATGAAGTATTCGAATTCTTGGTGATGCAAAAGGCTTAACCAATGTTCCAACTATAGTCTATATTCTATATTCTAATAAACCAAATATTTAGGAAGTATCTAGACAAATTCATAGTTGTCTATCTAGATCACATTATCATTTACAACTAAACTCCCAAGTGATGGGTAGAGGCCAAGCGAGTAAATTGTAATCCAACTTTCTTTTCAAGATCAAGGATGAAATATATAGTGATCCAAAAGTAGTAACCTTGATTCAATTGATTAAAAAAGTTAAGACAATGATTTTATGTTCAAGAGGGATTCATCTACACAAAAGGGAATAGAGTTTATATTCCCCAAGTGAATAATTTGAGGCATGAACTCTCGAGAGTTTGAGTGGGGCATCTAAGCATTCACAAAATTATAGATCTTATGAAGAGGGTCTTTTATTCGTCATAGATGAGAATTGATGTGGAAAAATATGTTCGTATATGCTTCATATGCTAATAAGACAAGGTGGAGTAACATAAGCCAATGGGTATTTTGGAGCCCTTTGTACTAGAGAGAATATGGGAGAGTATTTTCTTAAACTTTATATTAAGCTTGCTACTAGTTGGGATTCTTAGATAGATACTTGTGGTAATAGATTAGTTTTCAAAATTCAATGGAGAAGGTGGCCAAACTAATGATGAAGAATGTGTTGAAATATTAGATAATTTCAAATAGCATTATTAGTGACTAAAATACATAGTTTGGATCGAGTTGTTGAAGCTATTGGGATCCAAACTATACTTCTCCATAAATCTCCACTCAATTGAATGGCCAAATTGAATGAATAAACTCGCTATTGCAGTAATATCTTTAGTAATATATGAGTGCCAACTAATAACATTGGGTAAAACTATTAGACATAGCTCAATACTCCTACAACTTAAACATAGCTCTATATCCAACAAGAAACCTTTCGAAATCATTACCGAATAGCAATCATCGACTTCTCATACTTTATTAATTAGTTATATTAAGTGTAGCCCATTAGCATATCACTATGTAAAGAAATAATATTAAGACATATATATTGGACGAGCATATTTAGAGAAGATTATCAAAATGATAAAAAAGTAAGTAGATTTGAGAATATGATCATAAGAGTTCAAGTTCGACAACATATCGGGTTCTAAAAAGAATCTAAAATTTAAAAAACAAAAAAAAAAAAATTACTGTACCTGGTAATAGAGGCCCTATACTAGATAGATCCCGTATCCATCCGGTGCCAAAAAAAAAATTTACCTTGAGTTGTGTATGGGTAGGCTGCTGGATCATCAAAAATCGTTTATATCAAACTATATGACAGTATTGCAACCTTGATTTGCATCCCTTACCGGTTTAGCAATTTTCATTTTAAGAAAGGATTATGAGTTCCACTTCCCTGCGTCCTTCCCGTAAGTCTTCCCAGTTCATTTTCCATGAGCATTCTTCAAACCAAGGCTCTCACGAATTTGTCCATCCATCTTCTCCGAGTGTAGTTCCGACGTTTAAAATGGATGCTTTAGAATGTCAACCAACTTCGGTTTCTGGGTCATCTGCAACTGAAGCTCGGGAAATACAGCATTGTAGATCTGTGATAACACAATTAGTTTGCAAGTCGAACAGTGACATTATAAGCTTGAACGAAGATTACATCCACCAACCAAAAGAAAAATTAATATCTAAATAGCATGTTATCAAGTCTCATTCCATATATTTTTATATTTTAAATATTAATCAAATTGTAATGTACGAGATTTACTTATCAAAAATTGATAGGTCAAAACTTCATCTGATATATTTTATATCTTAAATATTGACTAGATGATTGTGTATGACTCACCAAAGGTGCAGGTTTTGAAATCTTATTCAATATATTTTAAAGATGTTAATAGCTAAGAATCTTCATATATCATCATAAGATTTCGAATTTTATAAAATTTAAAAAAAAAATTAAAATGACATTAATATTTTGCAGCAGCTTTAGCAGCTGCATTTTATTTAGTTCTGACACATTAGCCCTTCTGTCTATTCACCATCCAAACGAAAAAACACGGGGTCAAGAGCCAATTAGAAAATTATTGTCTTCCTATACCTAATTTCAACATGACCAAAGCAACAAAAATTACATAACAAATTACTGACAACTTTCTAATTATAATCTGAAAGATTGCAGATAGCTAGTTATCCTTAACATCAATTTGTATTGATGCTTTGGCAACAGAAGTGGAAATGATGTGCAAATCAGCATCAGCTGTCCATGACTGTAACTGCAACACTAAAGTCTAAAACAATCACTGGAAATCTTTTCCAATATTAAAAACCATTGATTCAAGCATGTAAACAGATTCCAAACCAAGATAGCTCCGTTTAACCTTAACAGACTAGCCATGGCCTGAAAGGATAGATTCGCACCAAAAACAGTGAAAAAAAACATCTTGTGCTAGCCGATCACATCATCTGATTAGTATGTATGATCAGTATAATGAGTATAGGCATAATGAAACGTATAATAACGAAGGAAGAGGAGGAAAGAAGAAGAGGAATGAAACAGAGAAGACTGAGAAAGTGGAGAGAAAAAAAAAGGAAATACGATAGCAGGTCACAAGCATCAACACCAACTCAGATGCATGTTGAGAAAGAGGCCTCACGTTCGTTGAAAAAGAAGGCCCGTGGAGGCCAGCCCTAACCAATTAAATTATTTTTTTTATTGATCAGATCTGATCATCTGAAACGAGAATAATCTATGTATCGATTTATGCTCGGGTGGTGCATGCCACCCATTTAATACCGGTCTAGGTGAATAATGACAGTCAGCATAAAACCCCATTCCACAGGCTGCTTTGCGGAGCACACAAGCGAGATTCCACTGCGATAATGATACAGGATACCAGTTGCATGATACAGACTCGTGCATGTATGAAAGATACAAAAACAATAATTTGTATATGACCAATTTGTTCCATGCCAAAAGCTGAAAGTTTATTGATTAAAACTAAAAGATATGCACAGGCAGACTTGTTCTAGTTGTCCTTACATGCATTTTAACCATAAGTTAATGCTATGCAAACAGATTCATTGATTGGTCACGAATGTAAACAGTGTACATTGCATAGAGATCATTCAACTTTCAAGTAATAACTTATAACTAATCTAGACTAGTAAAAACATATACTTGCAGCTACCACACAGCTGAAGCCTACTGCTCCGCGACTTCAAACCAGAAAAAGATGGAAGTTCGTGAGTAAATGGCTCGTACACGTTGCAACACCAAATTGCCACTGGTCCAAACAGCCTTGGCACCACCTTCAATTCTTGTCCGAGCAACCGTGACACCATCTCCATGTCCCTTTACCGGCTGTGGAAATGCATGGCATCCATTGGCTGTGCTCATTATTGGAAAGGAGAGGTAATCTAATGGGTTTTCTTCACACTGAAGAATGCACCCTTCAATTGTTAATCTCCCGCTACGGTGAAGCAAGCAACATCCTAGCTCTGCTCTGATCATCAAATTAGTTATCTTGCAGGTGGAAAGAAACTCCAATGCGCTGTGAAGATATTTTGACATGAGGAATTCCAGCTGGTGGAAACAAATGGAATAAAGGTACCAAAGAAGACAATGCATGCTAACAAATGAACTACTAATTGTCTCAGTCAAACTGCCAGTTCTATCTGATGCTAGAAAGTCAGAATCAAACATTTTCCAAAAATGGGATGAAGAAACATATCCAGTATAGGTGGCTGCTGTCACATATGACGGGTCTATAATCAAAGATGATAACTAACACACCAATGAGATGATCAAACCTTTCAGAGCCACGAGAACAAGTCAATACAGTATCATCCGGATGTTCACCCCCACCGATCTGTAGAAATCAGGAGAAAAGAACATGGCTTAATATGCAACTGCAGAGATTGTAGAAAAAAGTTGCTACTACTATAATTTAAGATAAATTCAAGGTCTGCTCAAAACACTTCATCAGCTTTGATGCATCTCTGCAACATGTACAATTGCAACGCAAAGTGACAGATATGCTATCATTTCTGTTATTGAGAGCACATAGATTCAATTTGATTGTCTTCAGTTATATGAATGACATGCAGACTAGCAATTCATTATTAGTGATTTAGGTAATGATAAGGCTGTCAGGAAATAACACTGATCTAACAGATAAGCCATTGCACTAGTGGATTTTAAAAATGAATCTGAGAAGAGAATGAAGCAACATCAATGGCAATGAGTCAACTTACTAGGCAAAGAGGCTTTTTGATCTGGATATTACATGCAACATGATCCAAACCAGGAGCAATCAGAATGGTATCACCAGGCCTACATCGGACACAAAAATCATTATATAAATATTCTCTGCTTTCTCCAAGGAAATTCAACTAACAAACCTTGCAGCAGAAATTGCAGCCTCAAGATTGGGAAAAACTCCAGGCTCACCCATGTTTCTAATAGAATTTTCCACTCGCAACCATAGTCGGGGATGACACACCAGGCAGCGCCACCTGTGGCAAACAAGGGCGATACTGTAGCGATCTGCAAACCAAGAAAAAAGGTGCTAAAGAAAATAATAGGAGCTATACAAACTATATGCAGGAATCTATAAGATAAAGGCCCGTATCTATCGAAATCATAAACATAATCAAGTTGTATCAACATTATCCACTGAAGTACACATGGAAGCAATTGTAACTCCAAACATGGTGTCATTTTTGTGTAGCATGTCCTTTTCAAATAGAAAAAGCATGATATATTCAAGCCAACAATATTTAATGCAGATATAATATATGCAAAATCTCACATGATAATCATTTTCTGGAATTAGAACAGAAGAGAAGCAAACTGTAGTAACAACAAGACATGCACAGTACATTTCAGAACATTGCAAGAGAAAAAAACACACATAGTAAAGCAGCTCTAAACGTCGATGCCACTTCTTAACAACCATAAGGAACTTAATAGTAGCAATTGTCTGTCAATCAAGCACAAACCACATAGAAGTTAATGATAGTTAAAAGCAGTAGCTTGTACTAATATTTACAAACTACAACTTTGCAACAGTGCCTTAGAAAAGGATTATGTTAGCTGTAGAATTTTCAAGATATCAGAAATCCATGATGCCTTTCACTTAAATCATAACTAGATCTGAGAAAGCTTTGAAAATCACATCCAAATGGCTACTGATCGTTTACTGACAGCCAAAAACAAAAGCTCCCACAAATAAGACTTTTACAGATTCTCTTCCTCATTGATACTTGTTCAATTGAGTCAAAGGAGTTCTTAAGACGAGCACTTAGGTGTAGATAGCCATAGGAATTAACAAGATCACATAGATAATTTATAACATACCATGCATAATCATCGACCTCCAAGTCATCAATTATCAGATGATAATTTAATCCTTAAAAAGAGAACTAATTCAATAAAAGGATTTTGATTTTGCAATTATTAAAATCAAGATTTAGAAAAATTTTAGGAAGGTGGTGAGAGACAGCTAGGAAGCTGTCCACCATCTAGGTGTTCTGCAACTTGTCAAGCATTCAGCATATGAGTAGCCACGGCCAGCAGAAGTCACAACTACAACAGTTGCCTACCAAGGCAGCAAGAATAACAGTAGCACCTCCAATCACCCATGGTTACAATATCAAAGATCATGTCATTCATTCATAACAGCTGGAACTTATGCAGCCATAAAAGAATAAACTATACCCCTGTTCTCCAGTCCAAATTTGATTCTAAAAACCACTTGCATGCCCCTGATTGTAATCTTCTAGAGCCCACAGTATAAAAAATAATTAACTGAAGAAAAGGGAGGATCTAGCTACTTCAATAACATTTGAAGTAGTGTAGACTGTTCACTTCTTTTCTCTAGCTTCAAATGATCTATTTTGTACTTGTCGTTACAATTTTTACCATCTCCATTCTTTCATCTTTCACTTGCAAAGCCTTTAGCTGCATACTCTTTGCTGTCTACTGCAAACATTTTGCTGAAAGTTGTGTCCTTTCTGATGCTGCCTTCATATGCCATGACGTCCTAGTAATCAGAATCGGTCCTCTTGGTCGAATATAAAAACAGGGTTTCCACTGGTGAATTTGTAAGTTAGTGACCAACTTTCAAGAATCATAGTTCAGACCTAATTTTCAGCTCCACTGAGACTTTGGATCTGACATTATTTGTTCTCAATTTCATACAATTTGGTGTAAAGCTAATTTATTTATATAAAGCTACTCAATTGATTTCCTTCATATTTTTTAACCAATATTTGGGACAATTATACAGGCATTCAGTAGTCTTGTGAAATATTATAGTAACCAATTCACTTACTAGATATCCCATACTAATTTATTGTAAAAGTGATATCACTTCAGTTTCCAGACATGTGAACTTGGTTCTCCATGAATAACTTATTTGCCATCCAGACCTAAGATTAAACTAAGAACTAAATTATAGTCACAACAAAGAAAAAGGAACCTTCAGGACTCCAACATGCCATATCAATTATACTAGACAGTATCTATTTGTTAATAACATAGTATGAAAGGGTGACTTGACCAATGACAGTGGTTCCATCATGTACCATGGAAAACAAAAATAAAAGAAACGAACCCATCAGACAGCATAGGACTAACAGTCTTGGCAGAGAAGTTATGTTATTGCAACATAATGTCCTATGCATAGACTAATCCAGATAACATAAGCATGAGCTAAGTATGAACGAGTAGAACAATATTTGGAAGAAAATAGATGGTGAGACCAGTCACACTTTAAATAACCCAATAGATAAATTAAAAATTACAGCTCCATAAAAAGATATTTCTCAATTGATATAAGCAACATAACATCATGGTGACTGGTCTAACAATTATCAAGGAGTACAAAACTCTCCTGCATCACGTGAATTAGTTTAGAAACTTCAACAGAAATGTTTTTCCAATATTATTTCAAGTCAGGTACTCAATGAGCACCGTCTCTAGGGGAGAGTTCTTTTTTTTAATTAATAGATATAAAAAAACAAAACCATATAGACTAAACGACCAAGGGGAAAATCTGCCACTGAAGAGAAGATAAGACACAACAAGAATGAACAGAAAAGAGGTAAAATATTCGGTGATTGCCTACACAAGACCCCATGTTTAGTTTTGATAATAGATTCAACCAATTTTGATTTTAAAAAAATTGAACCTTTCCAAACTCTAAACTATCGTCCTAATCAACTTCAGACAACCCTTTTACTTCCGTCACAGCCTTTCTTGGCATGTTTCGATCATTTTTCTGTGCACAAAGATCATAGAATTAAAGAAAAAGTGAATAATAAAGCAAGAAAACTTTAAACATACCACCTGTTACTCCATATAATTGGGAAATCTGTTCAACAGCAAAATTTTCAACAAAGCTTCACATTCAATCTATAAAATCAAAAAGGCCCAAAGCAGGTGGCCAAGTATCTCCAAGACCCCTTTTTGCTCATGCCAGCATCAGATCTGGAAGCCCTAAAATTCCGGAACGAGTAAAGGAGACGTAATCTTAGGACTAGAGATATAGAAGATGAGAACCTGGTATGGGCGTGAGGAAGCTAAAGATGTGCATAAGGCATCCGTCGTCGAGGCTATGGATGGGGGAAGCAGCCGCAGAGAAAGAAGCTGCCGCCGCAGCCACGACGCTCACCTTCCACCGCCTCGTCACCATGGCCCGCTCCTTGGTCGTATCTGTGAGTTTCTCTCTCAAGATGTCCGAGCAATCCCCTTCTCTGTGGAAACGCATCTATCCCAATTGATACGAGTCTTAGACGGCCCGGGTGTGTTCGGAGGCGACGACTCGACCGACACGAGTGGGCGAGAGAGTCGATTGGAAGATATTGTCGTATCACGCTGGGCATATTTAACAGGTGAGTTGCACGTGATTATTCTCGAAGGAAATTTTTAGCGGAAATTTTTTTGTGCCTCCCTGTAAATTCTTGAATATGAATTTTATCCCTTAAAGCATCAAAATATCAAGTATATCCTTCTACGTGAAATTTAGTGAATTAACCCCTATTATCAGTTGCCATTGAAGAACCATGAGGATTTTTGCTCTTCAATCATTGACCATATTTACCTACATCACATTTCTATACGTTAGAATATCATATTTTGATGATGAAACCAATTGAGAATATTTATGATTTAATATACGTTTAAGTGACGCAGGAATAACTTCAATCAATGAGAGATAAATTGATTAAAGCAAGAGAAATCAGACGTTGGACCAGAGTGACCATGTCAAAAGATTGGACGTCGGATCGAAGGATCGAACGACGTATCGGTAGAAGGCTCCGTGTCATGAGTTCGGATATCGAGCCAAGAAGAGTAGACATTGCGCTAAGAAGATCGAAGTTGCGAAGGTCAACATGTCAATTAGGCAAAAGAAAGTAAAAGAGGATGATGCATCGAAGGATTGGACGAAGCGCCGATGAACTAATGACATGCCGAACAACATAGGATTCGCTTGTAATTAATTATGTCTGGATCGAGTAATAGTCTAATTGAGTCGGTTTAGAATGTAATTAGACCAACTCAATTATGGGCCAATTGGGCTCAAGTTTGGGTTATGTTGGGCCAAGTGAAAGGTCAAAACAATGACCCAATAGGTGGGTACCGTCGTGGCACAGTCTTCGAGATTATGTCAGGTAGTGGTACCGCGTAGACATAGTCTCCGAGAGATGCTTAGGCGATGGTACTGCTAGATTGGGCAATGGTACCGTCCAATGGCAATGGTACCACCCAATGGTAGGGTGTCAATGCTATAGGAGGTGATACCGCCCAACACAAGCGGTGGTATCACCAGTACCCGGAGGACCCAAGATGAGGCATTTTTAGGATCAAAGTTTGAATCCACTTAAGGGCTATAAATACAACTCTTATTCCTGGTTAACATATATAAGCACAAAGAACTTAAAAGTGAGAAAACGCTGTTGTAATTACTTAAGAGATCCCCTCATCGAGCTTAAGTTTAGAATTCTGTTTAGAAAGGAGTGCGTGCTTGTAAAATGTTATCTCATAAACCTGTGAAAATGAGAAGAAGGGTGTAAAAGGGTAGTTGGTCTTCGCCCATTGAAGGAAGATCGTTAGTGGATACCGTTGGCCTCGACGGAAGAAGAATCAGGAGTGATTGTAGGTCACGATGACCGAACTACTATAAAATCGGTTTGTATTTCCTTTTAAGCAATTTACCTTTATTTCAAACTACCTTACTTGCTATACTCTTCCGTACGATTTTAATTTAAGCATCTTTACGAAACAGGTTTAATCGAAATGAAAAATTTTTCGAAATCGATATTTTTTGAAATCGATATTTATTGGCGGTGGTACCGCTAGTTTGGGTGGTGGTACCGCCCAGACATAGTCTCTGAGAGACTCTTAGACAGTGGTACTGTTTAGATTGGGCAGTGGTACCGTCCAATGGCAGGGTGTCAGTGCTATAAGAGGTGATACCGCCCAATACAAACAGTGGTATCACCAATACTTGGAGGACCCAGAATGAGGTATTTTTAGGATCAAAGTTTGAATCTACTTGAGGGCTATAAATACAACTCTTATTCCTGGTTAACATATATAAGCACAAAGAACTTAAAAGTGAGAAAACGTTGTTGCAATTACTTAAGAGATCCCCTTCTCGAGCTTAAGTTTAGAATTCTGTTTAGAGAGGAGTGAGTGCTTGTAAAATGTTATCTCATAATCCTGTGAAAATGAGAAGAAGGGTGTAAAAGGGTAGTTGGTCTTCGCCCATTGAAGGAAGACCGTTAGTGGATACCGGTGGCCTCGACGGAAGAAGAATCAGGAGTGGTTGTAGGTCACGATGACCGAACCACTGTAAAATCGGTTTACATTTCCTTTTGAGCAATTTACCTTTATTTTAAACTACCTTACTTGCTATACTCTTCCGTAGGCTTTCAATTTATGCATCTTTATGAAATAGGTTTAATCGAAATGAAATATTTTTCGAAATCGATATTTATAAGTGGTGGTACCGCTAGTTTGGGCAGTGGTACCACCCAGACATAGTCTCTAAGAGACTCTTAGGTAGTGGTACCATCAGATTGGGCAGTGGTACCACCCAATGGCAGGGTGTTAGTGCTACAGGCAGTGATACCGCCCAACACAAGCGGTGGTATCACCAGTACCTGGAGGACCTAGGATGAGGTATTTTTAGGCTCAAAGTTTGAATCCACTTTGAGGCCTATAAATACTCCTTTTATTCCTGGTTAACATATATAAGCACAAAGAACTTAAAAGTGAGAAAATACTGTTGCAATTACTTAAGAGATCCTCTCCTCGAGCTTAAGTTTAGAATTCTATTTAGAGAGGAGTGAGTGCTTGTAAAATATTATCTCATAAACCTGTGAAAACGAGAAGAAGGGTGTAATAGGGTAGTTGGTCTTCGCCCATTGAAGGAAGACCATTAGTGGATATCGATGGCCTCGATGGAAGAAGAATCGGGAGTGGTTGTAGGTCACGATGACTGAACCACTATAAAATTGGTTTGCATTTCCTTTTATGCAATTTACCTTTATTTCAAACTACCTTACTTGCTATACTCTTCCATATGTTTTCAATTTAAGCATCTTTACGAAATAGGTTTAATCGAAATGAAATATTTTTTGAAATCGATATTTTTATCGTTGCACTAATTCACCCCCCCCCCCCCCCCCGTCTTAGTGCC